ATTCGAACCCGCGACCCGCAGATTGCGAGTCGAGCTCCCTAACCACCTGGCCATGCCATGTGATAGGTAAACTAACTCATGAATGCTCTTTGCATATACTTCGACTTCAAGTAAGGTTAAAGTAACTGTGGTAGTACTATTTTCTTACTCTGGTTCTTCCGACGGTTTATGAAACACCACGTAGTCTGTCAAGTAATTTAATTTCAAAACTGTTGACCTAATCTATGCATAATAGTTATGTTTTGTTCTCCATTTTACGCGAAGATGCTTTGATTGAAATCGGAATCACCTCGTTAGTTTTGTCCTCATTTTGGAAAGTATTTTTTCGAACGTGGAAGTTTCTTTTAATAAAAGAAGCACGAACCTCTTGCATTAAGAACATATTTGGGGTTAAAACTTTATGTCTGGTATTGTTTTGATTAATTTTTTTTTACTGGGAATATCAGATGAGAATGAAGAAAATTATTAATTGCGTCTCGAACAATCAGCTTAAACAGAAAGCCTCAATTTTACAAACCTGAGCTCTGAAATGCCTTCAATATAACAGGTATATGAAACTCCTGAAGCTGAATTACGTTATATGATATAAGACACTCCTTAAGTTATACAGACAAGATCTACAAAGGTAGAGATACTTGGAGTGTATGGGTTGATATGTTGTCTTTTTTTAATGGTTAATAATTACACAATCTACTGATTCAGTTAATTAAATAAGTGCGATCAATTACTTCAATCTACGACATTGGATCAGTTGAACTGGTGGATTCATATTGTTATGCTGGGTTTTTCGGTTTGAGATGGTGGATTCATATTTTTATGCTGGATTTTTCGGTTTGAGATGGTAGATTCATATTGTTGTGCTGAGTTTTTTGGTTTGAAATGATAGATTCATATTGTTGTGTTGAGTTTTTGTTTGAGATGGTGGATTGATATTGTTGTACTGGTTTTCTCGGGCTGAGATGGTGGATTCAGATTGTTGTTACGTTTTTTTCGGGATGAGATGGTGGATTCATATTGTTGTGCTGAGTTTTTCGGTGCTCAGTGTACGCCGCCTACTGAACATTTATGTGGTCCGATTGGGATGTTACACGTGTTCGTGTATTCTTAAAGTTGGGTGTATTCAGTACTCACGTACCAATGTTTTGCAGGTAAAGGACCGAGGTTTTAAAGTTCTTTTATTTCAGTTACTATCATAGAACTTTTATAAAAGTTGCCATACTTCACACGTTATATTCCTTGCCATATTTCACACGTTATATTCCTTATGTTTTTCACGTAAATAATTATGAAATATTACTGATAAATCAAGATAAAAGTTTTGTATAATCTATGTTATAAGACATATGTATTCGCGTGAAATTTAGCGATTATTATTGTCACCGTGTACGTGTGATTTCGAAACGGAATCCAAGGTTTTAAAATGAGGTTTATTAAAACTGTATTTACTCAACAGTTGTGAATAAATGTAAATAAAATGTGACGATGATAGGAATACTAATTATGTATATGAGCATGAAAATCAATAACATGAAGAAATAGGGTGAGCTTGGTTAATTATTATTTCCAACCAATAAATATATATGTATACAGAAGCTGTTTGTTTTAGTTTGTTTGTTTGAAGTTAAGCACAAAGCTACACAATGGGCTATCTGTGCTCTGCCCGCCACGGGTATCGAAACCCGGATTATAGCGTTGTAAGTTCGCAGACATACCGCTGTGCCACTGGGGGGGGGGGGCATTTTTTTAGAAGAAAGCTCATTGAACTATCTGCCGTATTCACCGCGGGGGTAATCGAACCCCGGATTTTAGTACTGAAAGTTTGTAAATTTACCGATGAATTCTCTGGTTGTATATCTGATTAGATCTTTATGGTTTTACTATTTTCTCTAATCATAGTTTGTAGTTTTATGTGTGTGTGTGTGTGTTTATAAAACAGTTTTTGTTCAGACATGTTTGTCGGTATTTTTTCAAACTATTTACCGTTGTTATCTTAGATACGCATAGATCTAGTCTTACGCCTAACAACACATAGATCACGTGCCTTAACTTTTTGCGTGTAAACCTTTCAAATGTTTCTTACTATTCGAGTTTAGATTTTGTTCGCTGCAGGAAAAGGCATTATTTGCTGTCAACTTGAAGCGCTAAAGTGAGATGAATCTCCAATGATATATTTCTATTAATATTGGTCCTTTCTGTGAACACTAAGTAAACAGACACGAATGTATTCAATTTTGAATGACCGGAAATGTTCCATCCTAGCGTGCGTCACAACTACACGCTCGACTAACACGACCGTGAGTCAGCGGAAACACGTCGTTGTTACCATGGTAACTACCGAAGCTCCACAATCACATTGTACAGTAAACGTAGAAAATAATGAATTTATGCCATTATATTACTCATACAAAGGGAGCAATTTGAATGGAAATTTTCAGTTTAAATACTAATACAAAAAATAACGTTTCTCTGGAAAGTTATTTATTTTCATAATTTGCGTGTTCTTATAATTTATGACTTTATCATATAAAAGAATTATTTGATAATTCCGAAAGCCATTTCTGTGACAATAAAAGTCCGAAACTCTGTTTAAAATAAAAACAACAACAACAATGTGAATTCTTTTTAACGAATCAAATCAAATTGTAAAATATGATATGATAAGTTTAGGAATTATATCTAGAAGGTAGTATATATTTATTTCAGCTTAGTTATATTATTTACTTATTGTTACTTGCATTAATCGTTATTATACCTTCATTATACAGATCGTTATGGACTAACCTAAATCTCCTAAGCTGGCCGAACATCGTGAGATATTGTTGGGATTATGGTCGAAAACATCGTTAACAGCGAGGGTAGCAAACTGAAAGAAAAAAATGATTCTAATGTTTATAAGTAGGAATGTTTGTTAGTTTTGAATTTCGCGCAAAGCTACACGAGGGATATCTGCGCTAGCTGTCCCTAATTTAGCAGGGTAAGACTAGAGGGAAGGCAGCTAGTCGTAACCACCCACCGCCAACTCTTGGGCTACTCTTTTACCAACGAATAGTGGGATTGTACTTATTACAAATAAACAATCCAATCTCGCGTCAAAGAACATGCTCGCCCTTTCCGTTGTGAGGGCGTTACAATGTGACGGTCAGTCCAAGTAATCGTTGGTAAAAGAGTAGCCGAAGAGTTGGCGGTGGGTGGTGTTCACTAGCAGCCAGCCCTCCAGTGGCACAGCAGTATGTCTGTGAACTTACAACGCTAGAAACCGGGTTTCGATACCCGTGATGTAGCTTTGTGCATATTAAAATAAAAAAAAAAAACAGACTAGCAGCCTTTTCCTATAGTCTATCACTGCTAATTTGGGGACGGCTAGCGCAGATAACCCTCGTGCTGCTTTGCGCGAAATTCAAAACAAACTAAACTATTTCCACTTCCAGTCGTAATGTAAGTCGTGAAATTTTAAACAAGGGAGGATATGAACTCGTAATATTCATAAAACATTTTATTGGAATATTGGCATCTTATACTTAGAATTAAACCATAAACTAAGCATTTTTTTTTCTTCCCCGCATTGTTAACACTCGGCGACAAGCATCTCTACATGAAAGTGTTTGAAGATTAGCAATAAGAAGTTAAATTTTACTGTTACTTAGAATTAAACCATAAACTAAGCATTTTTTTTTCTTCCTCGCATTGTTAACACTCGGCGACAAGCATCTCTACATGAAAGTGTTTGAAGATTAGCAATAAGAAGTTAAATTTTACTGAGGGTGAAATAAAAAAAAATGTTCCTCAAAAAAATTTGCCCGATCAATTACGGGTAATAACATTTTATTGTTTGTTTGTTTTAAATTTCGCGCAAAGCTACACGAGGGCTATCTGTCCCTACTTTAGCAGTGTAAGACTAGAGGAAAGGCAGCTAGTCATCACCACTCACCGCCAACTCTTGGGCTACTATTTTACCAACGAATAGTGGGATTGACCGTAACATTATAATAACTGGGACTCGAACCCGCGTCCCTCAGATTTCGAGTTAGCGCCCTAACCACCCGGCTATGCCGGTCCTCTTTATGAAAGCTAAATAAGGACAATAAAAAGAATAAATAGATTAAATATACATTTAATCTACACAATTACAATACAATGCCTTGTTATGCACCTTCTAATTCAGGAAATTAGTTTGTAAAACTTTAAAAGCGTATCTTAGATATTTGTCAAAATGTCGATCAGTAGCGAATTGAATGTACAGCGTAATAGGTCTGACTCATAGCTTACACCACGACTGTGTTGCGTAATTTACGTGTCTCCTTTATACATAGAGTTCCCCACGCGTAATACAGTTGTAGCACAACGCCATTATACGGGTTTGTGTATTTTAGAATTTTAAATGAAGTTATAGAGCCCTGAAAGTTAGAAACAAACGATACTCACTTCGTGAACGATTTGTACTAATGGCCAGCTACGTATTGCATCAATCATTAGCTCCAAAACAGTTAATGAGATAATGAAAGGGATTCTGGTTGTACATTTCAAAGACATATATTTGACTGATAATATTTCGCGTTGTGTTGATCTAAGCCTTTCAAGTAATAATGGAAAATACGACAAAATCTTGAAGTTTAAAAAAAATCTCTGTCTGAAACGTAAAGTTTAAGTTATTTCTTTGGAATATATATGTGTACTTTGTATAATTTTTTATTATTCACAGTAAACGAAATAGTTGACTAGTCATAGAGGTGGCAATAAATGTTGATGACTAGCCATAGAGGTGGCAGTGAATGCTGTTGACTAGTCATAGAGGTGGTAGTGAATGTTGTTGACTAGTCATAGAGGTGGCAGTGAATGTTGTTGACTAGTCATAGAGGTGGCAGTGAATGTTGTTGACTAGTCATAGAGGTGGCAGTGAATGCTGTTGACTAGTCATAGAGGTGGCAGTGAATGCTGTTGACTAGTCATAGAGGTGGCAGTGAATGTTGTTGACTAGTCATAGAGGTGGCAGTGAATGTTGTTGACTAGCTGCCTTCCCTCTAGTCTATTTGTTCAAAACTAGAAACAGTTACCGGTGATAGCTCTGGAGTAGAATTGCGCAAATATCCGAAAATAAACAAACAAGTTATTTTAGCGTGTGGTCTGGAAAGACGATGGACAGTATGACCTTATTTAGAGGCGATTTTGGATAATAAATGTACAATATGTATCATAAATCATACTGCATAATCTTAAGAAAAGTAATTATGTCACGATTTGTTGTGAAGCGCGAAACTCAAGTTTCCATACCCGTTTCTCTTATGAAGTTTCCTGATTGTTCTAGAAAAGTTTGTGTCTATGCCGATATTAGAGCAGGCTACTCTAAATAATCATCAGTACCTCAGCAATTTTAATACTTACCCTCCACTGGTTAAGCCTAAACGTTTGCCAAAGTTACACATAAAATAAGCCTAACGTAAAAAGTGAATTGATAAGGCAAGACACATCAGGTCTGCTTGGATTTTAAAAGACTTGTTTCTCACCTCTAGGCTAGAACACAGACCGTCGATGTGTAAACACTGGCCAGAACACCGACCGTCGATGTGTAAACACTGTTTTCTTTTGTACATACGATGCACTTCGTACGATGAATTTAATGTCGACAGTCGAATAAATAATCGTAGAAATTTTCTCCCTTTTTTTTATTGAACAACGATAGTGATATAAAGTTCTAGTTGGTTCAAAGACATTCTTTCTTTATTGTTTTCTGTCAAGCTTACTGATTTTCCTTTGTATTTTTTCCTTCAGATGGCACAACGCGTTTAGTCTGAATGAAACATCTTTGAAGAAGTTAGATTAGGTTAACAAAACAACAAACGAACCCAACAACCAAACAAATGAATATTGAAACGCAGAATATCATGCACCCACATATATCCAAAACACCAGTCAACTCGCCCACAAATGCAGAATTTTTTAATTGGTCAGTGAGTATCAAAACATTTCGTACATATTACAACAGTTCATGAACTCACTAAAGTACGAAATAAAACTATCCAGTCCCCGGGGTCAATAATATCCTCGGTCCCCCTTTTTTTCATTCTATTTATTAAATTTTGCTGATTTTTCATAAAAGAAATTTACCTGACAAATTTATTTATGAATCCGCGAAAAAGCAGTAGCCATTTTAGCTCATTAAGTAGTATGCATTTATAGTGAGCTTTGGAATACCCCACTGCAGGACCCCGGGGCAGCTGCCCCCTTGCTTCCCTCTCGTCAACTCAGCTTACACAACACCTTGATTTTGATGTCATGTGTGTATTTATAGTGCATTCATGTAAAATACGCGTTTGATACCTTAACCTAGTGATAAGTGACGTTAACCAGTGAATTGTTTGTGGACTATAACGCAATCAAACTAAGTGAATCAGTGAATATCACTAAATGTTATACGTGTAACATTCATCAGTGAATATCACGTGTAACATTCGTGGACGTGGCCCTGAAGTGGGAAGTAGAATCAGTTTTTGTGTCCTGAAGGAGGAAGATGTCTAGATAGCATTTGACCCTCCCAGGTCGCGAATAGCAACACAACCCAGATCAGACTAAGTTAGGCTAGGGTTGTCTTGTAATATGTTCTTGCCTTATGCATAACAGTACGTTAGTCTGATTCTGATATTAGTGTCAAAGAAAGAAATTTAATGTTGAAGTTGGACAACTTTTATATATATATATATATATATCGTCTGTAGGGGGTCACATACCCAGCTTGCCATGGTATCTGGCGACATTGGGCGCCGCCTCTGGAACGTAGCCGTCTTGCTACACTAGCGTTTTGTGGTAAGTACAGTTTAAAATTTGTGTTGTGTATTAATGTTTAACACCAAATGTATTAATGTTTAACATCAAATAGGGGAATTGTAATTATTCACAAGAATGTTAGGTGTATATAAAGTATTACATTAAACCACATTGTTTACTCCCCAAATACGTGAGATATATATATATATACGTGGAATATTACACCAATCAACAATGCTCTTTCGTAACTGTATACAGTATAAACTTTATTTGTTTTTAACACAAAGCTACACAATGAGTTATCCGTGTTCTGCCCACCACAGGTATCTAAACTCGATTTTTAGAGTTATAAGCTTCCAGACTTGCCGTTGAGTCAGCGGGGGTGAGGATGGGGGATGGCATAAATCATATAAACACTAACACTAGTCAACGTACATGTTTAATCACTTTTTATATTAGCAACAAACATACGTCACTGGAAACCAAAATCTGTCTTCCTCTCTCATCCGATATATCACCTTTCAGTCTTAAGACTCGAGGCATATACATGTTAAAACAAATAAGGCATTTTATGCTACTGACTTTCAATATATATATATATACACACACATAAAAGGTTTCAAGTTTCTATACAGAGACGTATACGTTACACGCACACATCATGGAAACATCTTATATTTTACATTATAAAAGCTGTTGATGAATGAAGTAATGTAAACTGTCTGATAATTTGCAGGTTCTTATGCTGGAGCTGTGATGGGAATGCCTCTATCAGGAATGTTAACTGATTACATAGGATGGCAGGCATGTTTTTATTTCTACGGTAAGTTTTGTATAGGCTTCTTTATCTGGTTCTATATCTATTTTTGTATTACTAATCATATACTATAGAAAGAAATGTGATACACGTAACTGGAAATGTTTTTTAAATAAATAATCGCTATAAATCGCTACAATATGTGGATTAGATATATGTGAGCCTTCATGAAAACGATTGGATATAACATAACATAAACTTTTGGGACAACATGGGATCTATTAGTTCATCTCGGCTGTTCCGTCCTCAAAACTAAATTTAAATGATTAAAAAATAAAATAAAAAAATGTTAAACCCAGCCCTTATCATTCATATACTTATAAAACTTAAATTTACTGCCTCTACAACATCTGAAGGCAACCTATTCCAAAGACCAACCACCCTGTTAGAAAAATGAAACTGTCTTACTGAAGATGACTGCCACCTTGCCAAAATTTATATTTGTGTCCCCTAGTCCTACTATTCTCATTGTTGAATATAAAAAAGATGATGCATTAACACTATCAATTCCCTTTACAATCTTAAACACCTCAATCAGATCCCCCCCCCCAACTCTTCTTTTTTCAAGAGTAAACAATTTGAGAGATTCAGCCTCTCGTCGTATGACAACCCCTCCATTCCAGGCACCATTCTAGTAACACTTCTCTGAATCCTTTCCAACAATTCATTGTCCTTCCTAAGGTAAAGAGCCCAAGACTGAACACAATATTCCAAATGTGGCCTAACCAGTTATCTGTACAATGAAAGTATAACTTCTTTAGACTTGTATTTAATATTTTTGTAGAAACTACCTAAAATACTGTTTGCCCTACCACTAGCAACAGCACACTGCTTGGATGGCTTTAGAGAGTGGTAAACTATTACACCATAAGCCCTTTCTTTCATGACACTATTAAGGTTATTCCCATCCAAATTATACTTATAATTCAAATTATGGATAATCCACTTGCAATATCTTGCATTTATTATAATTAAAACCCATCTGTCATTTGTTTGCCCAACTCACTAAATGATCTAAATCCTTTTGTAAATCAGCAGCAACCTCCTCACAGCTAGCAACACCCAAGACCTTAATATCATTTGAAAATGTAAGTAATATATTGACTATTCCTTCATCTATGTCATTGATGTAAATCACGAAGAGCAAAGTTCCTAACACTGAGCCCTAAGATACTACACTTGTGACATTAATCCAGTTTGACTGAACTCCATTCGTAACAACCCTCTGCTTTCTTCCATCCAGCCACTCTTCTATAAGCCATCATGAACACATTTTTGTGGTTAATAATTGTAAGTTTTTGATAAACCGAATGCTAATCATAAACTAAACAAGTGGCATTATCATACACAATGTTTAGAAAGCATAGTTTAAAATATTTTCAAACTATCTTGATTTAACAAGTGCTTATGTATTTCGTAAAAGTGTGGGGTTTAGTGAATGCAAAATACATCAAACAATAGCACTTGTAATGTTTCATTTCTTTTCATTAGTGCTTTCATTGAACACGATAAGAAATCAAATATATTGCTGTAGTCTTTGTATATTATTGTTTGTATACACTGTAGCACATTGTTGTTTGTGTACACTGTAGCACATTGTTGTTTGTATACACTGTAGAATATTGTCGTTTGTGTACATTGTAGCACATTATGATTTGTATGCACTGTAGCATATTATTGTTTGTATACATTGTGGCACATTGTCGTTTGTATGCACTGTAGCATATTGTTGTTTGTATACACTGTAGAATATTGTTGTTTGTATACACTGTAGAATATTGTCGTTTGTGTACATTGTAGCACATTATGATTTGTATGCACTGTAGCATATTATTGTGTGTATACATTGTGGCACATTGTCGTTTGTATGCACTGTAGCATATTGTCGTTTTAAATTTAAATATTTGTATTTTGGAGGTACACACAAATCCGTTTTAGTTAAATTCTATGATTTAGATTTATCTGTATTAGTGAACTTGTAGGGTATCGACAAAGCTGTAATAATAAAATATTGAGCTAATAAAGTTACATTCTGGAGATATAGGCTGTTGTCAGAATTTAAAATATAATTATTTCACCGATTGTCAAAGTAAAAGGCTTTTACTTATATTTCTTAATATTATAAAGATATACTACATTGTTGATGGCGTGATTCACTTACAATCGTGGCGCGAGTTATCGTAATTGTTTGATGGTCTTTCTTCTAAATATCCTCTGTTCCTTTTGTCAAAGTGTACCCAGGCTTTGACGGAGTAATTCTTCTTCTTATCTCCTTTTCTACTGTTAGTCTTACTCTAACATATTAAATGTTAAGCCTATGTCAGTCGTTAGGCCTATCACTTCTACGATAGTTAACTTCACGCCGAACTTTTCATTGCCCGTAACCTTATTCTCTTCCGTTATTGTCTGTCTACTGTTTTACGCTCGTCTCACATTATTTATATCTTTATCACTTAATCGTCTGGCCTTCTAAATATCTCTATATTCTCGACGTCAATGTATTGCATACGACGTTCGATAGTCTCAACATCAATTAATTATAAACATTACTTCCTACAATCGTCTGATTTTAACTCTTATGATAACAAAAACTAAACAATGATAAAATATTCACTCACAAAATATATTCATCAATAATATCTAAACTAAACAGTCTTTTATATCATGACAGTCGTGATTTTATTTACATTTATAGAAATGTCTCACAATAAACTCCAGTTTACGTTAAACAAAGTTAAGAATAAAAACCTTTCTAACAAATCAACATGAATATTAGACATTCAACATAAACACTATAGTTGGCCGAAGAACAATCAGGTAATAGCTTTTTTTTTATTTAGCGACGATGTATATTGTTGAACACTGCCAAAAATATAAGCGTGAAAGCGTTCTCGACAGAGTGACAAAGGGAATAAGCCTTTTATAGTTAATGATAATTTATGCTTCTATTTACTCTTAATCAAATATGCTAATTTAAAAACATAACATTTTAAAATCGAGATCTTATTTTTACGTCTTCCTTTCATTTGATCGGCGTTTGTTACACAAAAGTTGAGCATGGCAACAAAATGATTATTATCACAATTAATACAAAACTTATCTCTAAAGATTATAAAGAGTTTCGATAAGATACTGTACGTGTTATCTTAAATTCTTAACCTCGTGAACTAGTAAATTGTTACCAGCTTAGACAAGTTTTTAATTCAGTTTTAAAATGAGAAAAGTCCTCTGTACACTGATTAATGTATGAAATATATTTTACAAACATTACACTTCTCTACTTACCATCTGTCTTTATGGTAAACAGCTAGCAGTGGCGAATAGTGTTCATTATGAACCACATAACTTACATTATAATGTACAAGTTCCCCTCTTGATGGGCTGCGGATATAGTTAATAAAGTTACTTACTTGTTATGATACGTATATGCATTTTTGAGATACATCTAGCCAATCGATATTTTTCAAAACATGGCGTTATACATACGCTTAATTTTATGTTCCCCTTCATTGTGGGCCCGGCATGGCCAGGTGGTTAGCGCGCTCGACTCGCAATCTGAGGATCGCGGGTACGAATTCCCGTCCCACCAAACATGCTCGCCCTTTCAGCTGTTGGGGCGTTATAATGTGACGATCAATCCCACTATTCGTTGGTAAAATAGTAGCCCAAGAGTTGGCGGTGGGTGGTGATGACTGGCTGCCTTCCCTCTAGTCTTACACTGCTAAATTAGGGACGGCTAGCGCAGATGGCTCTCGTGTAGCTTTGCGCGAAATTGAAAACAAACAAACCAAACCGTTCGTTGTGTGCTATTTTCGAATATTTCCACAATGTAATTTCTGTGTTAAATGTTGTTGTTTTTTAAATTATTTTATTTCATCGTAACTACAGGTGCTTGCGGATTGATATGGTACATTTTCTGGATGTGGCAGTCATTTGAGAAGCCTTCGAAACATCCAACTATAACTCAAGAAGAACTCATCTATATCGAACACAGCTTAGGCGATGCTGTTGGTCAATGCCCTTTTACTGTAAGTTCATTCTTTACAACCGTAACAGTGAGTGAGTGAGTGATATGTTGTGTCATTGATGACTTATATACGAAAATAACAATTTTTTTTTGTCTGAGATAAGGAAAAATAATGATTGCGCATACAAGAAATATGATAAACGTTTTCACCCCTAAATAGTTGAAAGGAGCAAGATTAAGTTGGTTTGGGTTAATATTAACACTAAGAGTAAGTGCTTTACCAACTGAGCGAAAGGGTAAACCCACTAACGGTTGCTAGTAAGGCACTTTTTTTTTTAACGATTCAAGTTATCACATTTTCCCTTCTCACAAACAAGTCAGATCCTCGGTCCTTATCTCAAGTTCGTAAGACCACTACTAGTTGGGCATGTGGTAATCCAATTTTTTTATATGCCATGAACAGGATTCGAGCCTGGAATCGCTCGCATTACAAGCAGCAAGTGGTTTACAAACAGAGTTAAAAGATTAACCCTCTAGCCTTTGCTAGTAAAGCACTTTTCACTACCCAAATTACCACATTACAACATGTTACTTTTGGACTAGGCTGTGATATTCACGTATATTGATACCCAACAGATAAGTTCAAAGTATCCGCAAAACACAGATTTCGGAAATGCTGTTCAAAATAATTTTTCAAAAAAAAAAGCACATCAAGGAAAGCACAAATACTCAGATGAACAAGTTAAATAAAATTTGTTATTCACAATAGTGTGTTATATATCTTATTATACCCAGTGGACAGCTTACAAGTTCTGTTGTGATTCCGTCTGGCTGCTGGAATTGAGAGGACGAAGTATGTGGTTATCCCCACTTCTATAGTCGGCAAAAGTCTTCGTGTGGTATCCCATAAGTCATTAAGATACAAACGTCAGTTAATTATCTACACACATAATCCAAATCATTCGAAATGAGTTTTCTTAGGTGTTTTCATCACCTGTTCGAATAGGCTACCTTCGTAGAAGGTCCATACAGAAACACATACACGTTAGCTTGACACTTGAGTTGTAGTACGAAACATTTACCTCTGTTAAAAAAAAAGGATTAGCACGGTTACGATCTTTCGATCCAGTTCACAAGAATGTCATGACTGCATGCAGAAATGCATGGAAATTAAAAAACATTATCCGAATATGCCTAAATAAGATTTACTCTACACTGAAATTAGTAATTATTTCAGCTACGACTGTTTCAAGCTTTAATTATAACTCAACAAATTTGCATATTTTCTGCAGGGTCTTTCTTAAATGAATAGTCAGATGATATATACTAAATTTCTGAATATGTGGTTATCAAACGAAATAGTTATAAAAACATATCATAAAATACTATTGAAACTTATTAAAACGTTATGAGTGTAGAAGCTCATATTTGCATCCACAATATTAAGTTTAAAAAAACTGGAAAAATTTATATGAATGCTAGCTCCCTCTGGTGACGAATACTCGATATAAGATTACATAAGCTGGCAAAATAATCAGAAAAACTACTTCTGTTGACAAATATTAAACGTGGGTTTAGGTAAACTGGAAAATTGATATGAATGCTAGCTCCCTCTTGTGACAAATACTCGATATAAGATTACAGAAGCTGGCAAACTGATAAGAAAAACTACTTCTGTTGACAAACAATGAACGTGAGTTTAGATAAACTGGAAAACTGATATCATTGCCAGCTCCCTCTGATGACCAATATTGGATGAAACTCTGAAGAAATGGTAAATTGATCTGATTGATAAAGCATCTCGCTAGTAAAGGTCATATAAAGATTTCGTGATGATAAAATGGTTGATTAGAAAGCAGGTTATGACAGTAAGTATAGAAAGCAGGTTATGACAGTAAGTATTTATTAACAGTCCAATCAAGAAGTTGAAAAGAGTAACCTTAGAAGGAAGTTTTGTTCTATCTTTTTTTTTTGTTGTTGTTGTTGTCTTTATTCGGCCAAAAGCCATAAGTGATACTTGTGAAATTAAAAAAAAAAAAATTCAAAATAACTTTGAATATAAGACCAGCGATAGAATCAAGGGAATAAGCGCGAATTTTCTAAATTCTGCACAAGTTGAATTAGAAAATCGTATTCGAAAACAACTAGTTTCTGTATGTAAAAGAATAAATACTATTAATTTGTCAAAAAATGTTTTAAAATAAATTTAACATAGCATAAAATTTTGGGACTACATGGGACCTATTGGTCCATCTCGGTTGTTCCATCCTCTAAATAAACTAAAAATATCAATAAATAAATTTTAAAAACATCTTCAATCCAGCCCTTATCATTCATATACTTATTAAGTTTTCTCTTAAACTCACTTAAATTTACTGCCTCTACAACATTTGAAGGCAACCCATTCCAAAGGCCAACCACCATGTTAGAAAAATAAAACTGTCTTAGTTGAAGATGATTCCTACCTTGCCAAAATTTATACATGTGTCCTCTAGTCCTGCTATTCTCACTGAAAAAAAGATGATACATCAACACTATCAATTCCCTTTACAATCTGTTTTTTTAAATTATGCACAAAGCTACACAAGGGCTATCTGTGCTCTGCCCACCACGGGTATCGAAACCCGGTTTCTAGCGTTGTAAGTCCGCAGTCATACCGCTGTGTCACTGGGGGGCTTTTTTATAATCTTAAGCATCTCAACTCTTCCTTTTGCCCTTCAGTGACACAGCGGTATATTTGCGGACTTACAACGCTAGAAACCGGGTTTCAATACCCGTAGTGGGCAGAGCACAGATATTCCATTGTGCAGCTTTGTGTTTAATAACAAATAAACAAACTATTCTTATTTTTCAAGAGAAAACAAGTTGAGAGATTTATCTTAACTATCTTTACCCCAGAGGTTCACAAATGAAAAAAAATAAAATCGCTTATCAACTAGAAAAAACAAACAGCAGAAACAACGAAAAATAAACAATTTATTCTGTTCTGAAAAGCGTACCTTTAGAGTAGTGCGATCCGTTCTCTTACGGGAATTCTTACTTTAAGAATTAAAATTGCTTGTTTGTAAAACGCAGTAAAGAATTGTACGCTTATAGAAGGCTTAACTTTGGCTTATTGCAATAATATAGGTTCTGGGAACTCTTCCTTCCCCAACTAGAAATGTCTGTCCGGTAAAGAGTTGAATCCACTAAGAACATCACTGTTTCTGAGATGCTTAGAAATTACAATATTTCTTTATTTGTTTAAAAATTTCAGAATAATGAAAATGTGCGCCATCTACAAAAATAAAATTCACTAAAAGGCCAATTTGACAATAAAAACAAGTAATTGGATCAGCAGTAAAGAATCTTTATCCTGTAATTCATTATATAGTCAAATTAATGTTGAATAACTTAAATAAAGCACTTGTATCGTTGCTACTCTATTTCACATAGTTCGTGAAACAATTTCGAAACATATTTCAAAATATTTATCACCTTGCTTATGTTTGTTCATTGTTAAGCTACGCAATCTGTGCGGTGTCCCCCACGATTATCGAAACCCGGTTTTTAGAGGTGTGAACCCTCAAACTTACCGCTGAGCCATTGGGGGTCATCAAATTCGAAATGGCTCAAATAATTTCCTTATATGTCAGTTACAATCAGTACATCTTTAGACTAACGAATGTAATCTTTCCATTGAGTATTCTAACGTCCTCATTCACTAAGATGAAAAAGTTTGGCCATAACTCATTTTTTTCTAATTACGTTGTTTGCCATATCATTGCAGCTGAAAACCACGCCATGGAAAGCAATCTTTACTTCAATGCCTGTGTACGCTATCATAGTGGCTATAACTCATTTATTTCTAATTACGTTGTTTGCCATATCATTGCAGCTGAAAACCACGCCATGGAAAGCAATCTTTACTTCAATGCCTGTGTACGCTATCATAGTGGCCAACTTTGCTAGGAGCTGGAGCTTCTACCTTTTACTGATCTCTCAACCCATGTACTTCAAGGAAGTCTTCCACTTTGAAATAGACAAGGTGGGTAAAGCCGTATATGTACTTCAAGGAAGTCTTACACTTTGAAATAGACAAGGTGGGTAAAGCCGTATATGTACTTCAAGGAAGTCTTCCACTTTGAAATAGACAAGGTGGGTAAAGCCGTATAAGTACTTCAAAGAAGTCTTCCACTTTGAAATAGACAAGGTGGGTAAAGCCGTATATGTACTTCAAGGAAGTCTTCCACTTTGAAATAGACAAGGTGAGTAAAGCCGTATATGTACTTCAAGGAAGTCTTTCACTTTAAAATAGACAAGGTGGGTAAAGCCGTATATGTACTTCAAGGAAGTCTTTCACTTTAAAATAGACAAGGTGGGTAAAGCCGTATATGTACTTCAAGGAAGTCTTTCACTTTAAAATAGAAAAGGTGGGTAAAGCCGTATATGTACTTCAAGGAAGTCTTTCACTTTGAAATAGACAAGGTGGGTAAAGCCATATATGTACTTCAAGGAAATCTTACACTTTGAAATAGACAAGGTGGGTAAAGCCATATGTTTATTTGATGGTTTGTATGTTTATAATATTTTGTCACTTCTGGAGTTAAAGGATTCTTGAAAACACAGTGTTTCTGGAGAACAGGTTAATTATGACTAATTCTCGATGAAAACAAAAATATACTTTTACAATTGTACTTGTCACAAGATTTTCGTATTAGACCGATTATATTTTAAAATATTACGTTCTTAATCTTAAGGATTTTCAAGAATTAAAAGAGTGTATAAGAATAGTATTCCAATCACACTATATTTGCCATATCCGTTGCCGACGACGCGTTTCGCTCAATCCAGAACTCATCAGGCTGACCGGGACACAACAAACACAGTACAACAATCGCTATGATGTGTAGGCCTTATTAATCAAAAGTCGAGTGTATCGTAGAAACTACTGTAAGTACTTTTAAATGCGTTGAAATCAAAAGTTGATTTCGTTTGTATTGGGTTGTAACAACTTACCTTTTGATCGAGGATTTCTCAATTTGTCACCTTTACGGTGAAATTTAACAAAAACTAGAATCTTTACTTTTAAGTTTATTTGAATATTGTAGATATACTAAGAATATAAAATAAACCTTGCGTGTATTACTTGTCCTATCTCCTTTGAGTCGTGTCAATCCAGTAAGGGAGGGTTGTCTAATTGTTAACGGTACAACTGTTAGCTGGAGTAGAACCCTGAAGAGGTTATAATTTTGTATGGTTATTAATTTTACGTGAAATATCGTGCTATTTTTTATTTTAGTGTCTGTTTAATGTTTGGTGACTTATTCTAGCCACATATTGTTCTAAAAATGCTATGTATATAGGTCTATTTTTTATGTCTTTTAGTCTGGAGTACTAGGAGCCCTTCCTCACCTCCTAATGACATTAGTGGTCCCAATAGGAGGACAGTTGGCTGATTATCTCCGCCGAAGGGAAATTTTGACCACAACTTCAGTACGGAAAATTTTCAACTGTGGAGGTAAGTAACACTGGAATGGTGAGGGTCTGTCCTGCTATTGTTATTTAGACGTTTGTACACTGGAAGAGTGAGGGTCCTGCTATCTTTATTTAGACGTTTGTACACTGGAAGGTTGAGGGTCCTGCTATCTTTATTTAGACGTTTGTACACTGGAAGGTTGAGGGTCCGTCTTGCTATCTTTATTTAGACGTTTGTACACTGGAAGAGTGAGGGTCCTGCTATCTTTATTTAGACGTTTGTACACTGGAAGAGTGAGGGTCCTGCTATCTTTATTTAGGCGTTTGTACACTGGAAGGTTTAGGGTCCTGCTATCTTTATTTAGGCGTTTGTACACTGGAAGGTTTAGGGTCCTGCTATCTTTATTTAGAC